CGCATCAGCGCGGCTCTGCCGCTCCCCGGGGGCTGCCCGGCCGCCAAATTCCCGTTGCCCCTCAGCAATTCCCCCGGGAATGCCAGGAGCGCTCCCGTGCGAGACGTTTGGTGCCAGGGGGCAGAAGCGCCCTCAAACGCGGCGGCACAGCCCGATGTCAAGCCGCTGATAAGTGTGTGCTCCACCCTTCAATTTAATCCCCTACAATAGCAGAAAAGGAGGGATTTTCCTCGAATTAAATCGCTCAAATGACGGGAAAAGAAGGATTTTACCACAATCCAAACCCTTATAAAGGGCAGACAACAGGGCTTCCTCCTCAGTTTAAACCGCAGGATGATGACAATGAGGGAGGTACCCTCAAAACAAAGCCATTATATGGCATCGATATTTTTCCCCTTCCAATTAAAATCGACCAAAGGGATTCCCTGTCAACTGATATACCTAACACTCGTAAAAAGGCAGGTTTTCCTGCTATCTGTACCCTCAAAATCACAGGTGAAAGGGGACTCCCCCAGTTTAAACACAGACAATAATGGAGGAGCAGTTTCTTCCCTCAATTTTATCTCCTTTTATCCTGATAGCCCCTATTTTTTTATTTTTTTTTTAGGGGATCGGGGAGAGAATGCCAAAATGAAATCAAAAGGGGGAAGAAGAAAAGTCCCCCCTTGCAAATCCATGCTGGCTCATCTGCTGCACCTTCTGGAAGGCGCTCAGCAGCTTCTGGAAGTCCCTCAGCACCCTGGGGACAGATCCAGCATCTTCTGGAAGGCGCTCAGGACCCACCGGGTGGTCTAGAACCTCAACACCATTCAGCACCAGGCAAGATAGTCTAGAACACCCCGGGGTGGCTCCAGAACTTTCTGGAAGTCCCTCAGGAACCTTTCCTGGATCTTTGGACCCAAACCTGCACCAATCTCCCTCTTTTTTTCCCCTTTTTTCCCCATTTTTACCCCAAATTTTGTCTCTTTTTTTCCTGTTTTTGACCCAAATTTAGCCTCATTTGTTTCTTTGGGGCCTCTTTGGAACCAAATCCGGACAAATTTTGGGATTTTCACCCATTTTTGCCCCAAATTTTGTCTCTTTTCTCCATTTTTATCCCAAATTTTCTCCTTTTTTTCCACTTTCCCCTGAAATTTTGTCCTTTTTTTTCCCATTTTTTCTTCCAATTATCTTTTTTTCCCAGTTTTTAGCCCAAATCTTCTTTTTTTTTTTCACTTTTCCCTTTAATTGTGTCTCTTTTCCCCCATTTTTTTCACAAATTTTCTCCTTTTTTCCCACTTTTCCACCAAATTTTGTCTCTTCTTTTTCCCCTTTTTCTTCAGATTTCCTCTTTTTTTTCGGTTGTTCCCCCAAATTTTCTCATTTTTTTTCCACTTTCCCCCCAGTTTGGCCTCATTTTCCCTTATTTTGTAATCTGAGCTTAGCAGGCACCGGGGGCATCCTAGTTGTGTCTCTTGGCTTCCTTTGCTACCTTCCACTGTGATTACCCTGGCACGGGAACTGTTAAGTCGTGGACTATATGATGAGATGCTTCCTGAGATGGGAATAAATTCCAGCTGCAGCAAGAAAACCAAGAAAAGACCATACAGGAGGTAATACCATTTTAATAGTCTCCCAATCTCCAATATGTCAAAGAAAAAATAATAGAGTGTGGCAGTATATAGCCATTACCAAGAGAAGCAGTGTTAGTCAGCTTCTCAATGTTGCTTTTTAGTATTAGGAAAAGGGAGTTTAGGGAAAAACATTTGGCCTAAAACTTATCCATAAGTTGCTGGGGGTTACGGGAGATGGAACCTGACACTCAGTAAATTGCATGAGAACCACAGCTTATGTTACTCAATGTCTTCTGGCCTCACAGGATGAGGCAGAGGTATAACCGATTTCTTCTCTGTATCTCTGGAAAGAGCTTTTCTCATATCTATAGCAAAAGGAAAAAATGTTATAATAGTAACAGTCATTATACAAAGCCATATTAAGTGAATACTCCATTAAAATAAGATAACTTTTAATCAAGGAAATTTCCTAGAATCATAAGACTACCTCAAGTAGGAAGGGACCCATAAGGATGCAACTCCCTGCTCCACATAGTACTACCTAAAATTATACTGTATGATTAGAACACTGTGCAGCTATTCCTTGAGCTATGATGGGCTTGGCGTTGTGACTGTTAATTTATAACAGTCAATTTAATGTTAATTTATAGGTAGACATCTGAGAAAAACAAAGTTTCAAGTCCCTGTTATGGGATGAAAGGAAGAAAGCATTGAGATTCTTTCTTGTTTATTCTTGTTTTGCAGTTTATTTTGCTGGAGATGCTACAAAATGTGTAAATGGCAAGATTAAGTTTCGTAACTGATATAATCTTAAGTGGGAAAAGTTATCTAAAAGAGGATACAAAAATCCCATTAATCAGCAACTATCTGAAATTATTTCACATACCAAAAAAAAGAATAATTGTCTTACAAACAAGCTCAGGAACCCTCAACATGAGAATCGCTCCATTCAATTTGAGACCGAACGAGAACTTACCGTAAGCATCTTCATCTGGCTCCCCACTGCTAGCTGAGTAGTACTCTAAGACTGTCCGGTACACACTGTAGCCTAGTTGCTTATACATATTTACAGCAACCTGATTTGATACTCTCACAAAGAGATCGACAAAAAATCCACCCTTTCTTTAGCAGGGGAGGGAAAAAAAACAAACAGACAAAACCACATTAAGGAATAGTAGGTAAATGTATTTCTAAGTAAGAACCCATAAATTGTAATGAAAACAAAGCAAGTCTGATGTAGTATGCTAATCAAACATCTTTCACGATGTAATAACAGATACACTCCTTTACCAAGGGAAAATTCAACTATAGACATGGATTTTATTTTTGTCACACGGCCCTTCTACAAGAGTCAGTGGGCTCAGAAATTTGAACAGAAAGAACAGGACAAGCTAAACACCCCCACAGGCCTAAATCCATATGACATGATTAAAGAAATATCCATATTTCTTATTGCTTGGATTAGGAGGAGTGGAATCAGTTATGAAATGCAGTTGCCTAACAGGAGATGATAGACCCTTAACTTCACAAGGCAAATTTTTCAAAATGTTGTACTATTTTTCCAATTTTCCCATTTTTCCAGTGATTGCCCTACCAGAATCAGTTAGGGCCATTTCCCAGTTGGTTCATCTGACACTGAATTAAATTTTCTCAGGTACAAGTAACTGAGCATGGGATGGCAAGTAAGCTAAGATACTCTCTGCAGTGCAAAATCTGTTCAGGACTGTGCCTGAGGGCATTGTACAAAGCCCAGTTACTGAACAAGTATGTTGGAGGCCCTACAGGAAACAGTGCTGACGTTTCACAAAGCTCTTTTCCTGTCAAGAAATGTTCTTTTATGGAGTATCTCTACTGGAATTCAGGCTATGTCCTTAGTCTGGCAAGTTAGCTTTCAGAGAAACCCTGAGATTTTAAACTGCTAAGCAACTTTCGTAACTCCTCTTCTCCAACTATGAGGAATTTCAGAAAATTACAACACCAGTAAAGCAAAATTCTGCCACATAAACCAGGGACAGGTGTCTGTAGAAATACTGCTTTAAAATATTACTTTAAAAGATAAATTTAAAGATAGACATATTACTCACTTTTCTGAAATTTCTTCCAGGAGCTCCATCAATTTAGCAGCCAAACCCAGCCGTCGAAATTCTGGTGCAACAGAGAGAGCAGTAACGTGTCCGTGCCATTCTTCCCTAGCCACAGAGCCTTCAGCTTTGCCCATGACTGTGAACATACAGAGCATCAGTGCAGCAGCACCTCTGGAGTAATGCATTGCCCGCAGCCAGACAACTTCACGAGAGGTATAAGCCATGCGTAAACATATGTCACAATGGTTATGGTAAAAGCTAAAACAGGGATGCCTACCTTTCACTCTAAGATTCAGCAGCCACTAAAAATGTCATTTTGCTCATGTATTACAGCAGTTCCTTGACTAGTGTTAAAAAAACACCAAACAAGTTTGCAAAGTCCTTGCTGGATGTGACTTCTAAATGCAAATTTCAAGCGATTCTCACAAGTCTTTCCCTGAACCAAAATTTAAAACGGGACTAAAGTAAAGGAGGAGGAAAGGGCTAGAAAACTACCAAAACTACCATCCTAGCCACTGTTTGAGACTTTTGGAAATTATGGGGGAATAGAGCTTGGGAAGCTTTGCCAATCTGGCAATAGAAAGCTAAGGCCCTGCAAACAGGATGTGCTTAAGGGGGGGGGGGGGGGG